AAGAGAAGAGAAGAGAAGAGAAGAGAAGAGAAGAGAAGAGAAGAGAAGAGAAGAGAGAATAATTATAAGCAAATGACTTCTAATCAGGTTGCGGGACATTAGTTATTTATTATGCAAAAAAACATCCATTGTTTTGTCCCCCAGAACAATTCATCTTGGGACTCCGGAAGAGCAAGGGGTCTATAGTGAAACTTTCGATATTCGGTTTGAGTGATCAAGCGCAAAACATTTCGAGTCGAGGCGTTAGGGAATCAATAATGTAATCGTAATTATTATTTTGCTTTTCCTGAACCTCGACTCGTATTTTTTTGTGCTCGATCACTGAACCAGAATATCGAACGTAAACTTTCATAAAGATTCTTACTTACTTATTTGTCTCACGAATGTGGCACTTAGGTGGACCGCTATTCACCTAGCTAACTGCACCATTCGTGAGACTAATAAATAAGGTGGTCTGCCTGAATATATCCACTATTTTTTTTTTATTTTTTACTTTATTTCTTTAAAATACATTTTCCTTTGTCTAAATGTAAGTGTCAAGAAGATATTAGACCGAGTTCACATTACTTATGACGCTAATTAAATATTCATTTCTTTGGTCGAAGACAATCACGATCTGAAAATTACACAATATTTGTAAAATTGTACCGACTTTTTTTCTGCATGACAAACCATGGTGTATATATATAGTGGACTATGTATACAGTTGGTGTAGTGTCAACATTGGCCGGCAGCATTCAAAGCAAGGCTGTCACCGCATGTTAAGTTGAATGATACTTATGTTTTTCATTAAGTGCAGCAGAGATTTAAAAAGCAATCGGAGTTAAAGAGTGCGTCATCATGATCTAAAAAAAGTAGGGTATCAAATGAAAACTACAATGTTTAATAAAAAGATTATATCATTATCATTATTATTATTATTATTATTACTATTATTATTATTATTATTATCTTCGTTTATTTAAACTTTCAGTATGGGTAATACTTTACAAGAATAAAGCGGAACTGTATTACTATTATTATTATTATTATTATTATTATTATTATCATTATTAATATTAATATTATTATTATTATCCTCAACATCAACATCATCACAATCACCATCCATCCGAGGTTGTGTATTACTGCCAAATAATCATTACGAATAAGGCGGCCGTATTTTTCCGAGAAAAACTACAGCTTTACGAGTAAAATTAACCGGCTATGATACACAACTAGCAGTGTAATAAATTGCTTATTGTAAGGCAAGAAAAAATGTGAAAAAATGCATGAAAAAAGACGACAATCTGGTACTGATCGTAAACAAGCAAACTTGAAAGTCACGAGCTCAAACCACTGAAGTGAGCAACACAAAGGAATTGAAGAAATTTCCTCGCGCTTACATCAGCAAAAAATCCTGTTCAAAACCGGTTCACAGACCTTGTATTATCGCTCTGTAATTGCACTCGAAAAATGGTGATAATAAACGGTAAATTGAGTTTATTTATATTAATATTGAATATTATTATTAGTCACATTCTCCTCTTTTCTTTTCTTTCCTTTTTTTTTTTTTTTTTTTTTTTTTTTTTTTTTTTCGATAGAGAGAAAATGCCCAACATCTGCTCCAGAAGCAAGGAAACGACATCAACTGACGCCAAAGTGTTGGCCAAGGTTATTTAAGTAGACTAGACATCATTAAGACAATAGTATGCTCCCTAGAACCGCGCGTTTAAACAAAAGCATCAAAGCGAAAGATTGAAAATACGAAGCGATAATAACAAATGTCTAAGATCCCTTTAAATTGTGCATGCATAATAGAGAGCAGTTTACAGACTTATTAATGGAAGAAATGCCCTCAAAATGCATATGACTATGATGCAATGAAATTAAATCCACACTGAGGACACGAGAAATATAACGAATCACGTTATATGTTAACATCGCAAGTTATTTGTTCCAATAGTTGGCTTAGTAAGTTATGTAGAAAGATAAACAAACGAATACTAACAGCTTTAATAAAAGTACTAGATTCATGTGTTTGAAGTTTTGAATTTCTTATTCTTATTTTAAATTCTTTATTTCGATAATGATTACCTTAAAGGGTTGCTAAGATACCAATTATCTGAAGATCATGCATGAAAAGAAATATTTTCTCTGTTGGAAAAAATTTGGGCGTTTTCAAACTGAGCCGATTTGTCTCGTGGTCATGTTTTAATATTAATAAAAAAAAACTTTTTTTTTCAACTTAGATCGATATGATCATAATTCAATTTGTAACCAAGAAGTTATTCATCGTTTACTTGTGATTAACACGACTTAGACCAGAAGAGTGCAAGTGTCTGTACACTACTAAACAATACCTAAGAAAATAGGCCGTTCAAAGTTTCCCATGGAAATAAATATATGTTATTTACCGGGCAGGAGGTCTGGATAGGGACAAACTGTGCCCGAGGTCTTGAATATACGTTTCAAGACCGTTTTCAAGACCGAGGGCACAGTTTTTCCCTATCCGGACCGACTATAGGACGCTAAATAACTTATTTATTTTTTTCCGTATTTTTTAAACTTGTTTTGGTAATCGTTTTGTGTTGTCGTTTAGCGGCAAAGGATACCGGACCGCGCGCGCGGGCAGATACTGACAAAATACCGCCCGCTCAAACAGCCAATCAGAACGTACGATTTTTTAGGATACCGGACCGGGAAAAAAAAATTTTTTAATGAATTTTAGTAAATCCTCAAAATAAATTATTTCGTACTCATACACTTTATACACTTTTTTTTATTATTTTTATTATTTTATTTTTATTTTATCTTGTTTTATTTTTTTATATAATTTGTTTCCCTTGGTTTTCTCTAAAGTGTGTGTGCTTTTTTTTATTAAATAAGGATTAAAATGTCCTGTTTTCCATGAAAACATCTAAATAAAGGACTAAACAAGGGAAAGGGAAAACAAAGGGAAAATGAAGAAAATCAGGGGATGGGGAAAAAAGAAAGACAAAAAAATACGAGTGGTAAAAGGTAAAAACGGGGGGAAAAGGGGGAAATCTGCGAAGAAGAAAAAGGATCATGTTTTATTTGGCTTGAAGTAAAGTACAATATAATGTGTCAACATAAGATTGCACCTATCAGACAAAAAAAGACCTGGAATAGATCTAATAACCTCTCACACAGAAAGCAAATACACAAAAGGACAAAAAAGGGCAATTGCCAACAGAAGGGTTTAATTACATATGAAATCTCTATATTTGAAACCTTGGCGTTTGTGATCTCAATTCTTTCGATAAAATCGTTAAGGAAGAAGATATTAAATGGTCGGCGAATCTGTTAAAAAACAAAACAAAGAACGCAAATAGAGTTTGAGAAAAAAAGTTTTTTCCTATTTGCAAAGGGAAAAGTTTGAATATTGAAATGTAAATGATAAAAACAGAAGTTTGTTTCCTTCCAATTTTATGCAAAATATTAAACACAAAACGGCAAAAAGGCTGCTCGCCAACGCTTTGAATATTTAACAAAATAAAGCTGTCACAAATTTCGAATTGTAAAGACATTTCATATTTTGTTAGCTTGAGTTCGGCACAATTTACGTTTACGAATGTAACAGCCAATCAGGTAGACTTAGCTAAAGCCTGTCAGCGAGCTCGATACACACAGCTGCAAGTTCTCTTTTTTCCAGTTCCCAAAGAACTTGAAAGCCATCAGTTCCCTTGGATTAGCAAGCTAACAAGAAAACAAAAACGTCCCAAGTGTGAAAGAGAACTTGGGGGACCTATAGACTTATCTTCGTGAAGCTTGAAACCCATTCAAGGTATATATCAACCACTTGCATTGTTCTTTTAGGCAATTGACACTTTTGAATTAATTAAGATCTTTGTAAGATAAAAGTTAAGATTTTTTGTAGTAAGTGTTCARCCCGAAATTTCATATAAGCCAAAAAACTAAGACCACAAATACTTAAACCTTTTCATAACATAAACGTGGTCGTAAGAGCAATTTAAGAAAAAAAAACACCCCTCTTATATATCTATTCTCCTATAGTTCAGATTCGTTTTAGTTTTTCACTTTATACATGTATATTGCAAGGTTTATGCATTAGTTAATACGTTTGTCGTTGCTGTAGACAATGAAATTCACTATTGAGAGAACATTAATTTACCTATGATTTTGCCCGGCTTTTCTTGTAACATAAGTTTTAGATATGGTCTATGGTTAATACTAGACGTTTTCAAATATAAAGAAAGCTTATTTTTCAAAGAAAAGAAAAAAGAGAACAAAAATGTTCTGTTGAATTTGACGCAGTTGAAATCGAAATTTCAGATTACTAGTTTTTCGATTCGTTAAAATGGCCTTTTGATTATTCTTCTAGAGTGGATAGAATAATGTCATACTCGGTAAAGGGCTTTGATCCTGGAAAGAAGGTCCGTCAAACGCGCGCTGCATCCCATTTATCTGCAATTATATTTCTTTAATAATGCTCCTTATTACGATCGTGAATTATATAATTAAACTCCCATTTTTTATTTTCTTATATATGTGATAATATTTTTAATTAAAAAAAAGGAACACCTTGCACATGATGGATTTTTATTGCGGGAGGTCTGAGAATTACCAAGCCAAACCAAGAACCTAGTTATAATACTGACGCATATTGACAACACATCTAGAAATACGTACATTAGCTAACAACGCCTACTAGAAACATCTTTAGCATTTAGTATTATCACTTCACTAGAAGGTCAGGAAACCGATAACTTAAATAATAAGAGTACGATAAAGAGGATCTTATTTAAAGGCTGTCTTTAAATGATGTATTACCTATCCCATAATTTCTGATAGACTTCTGGATGGATGGATGGATGGATGGATGGATGGATGGATGGATGGATGGATGGATGGATGGATGGATGGATGGATGCTTGCATGCATGCATGCTGGATGGATGGATGGATATATAAATGGGAAGCAAAGAAAGGGAAAGTAATAGAATGGAAGGAAAAGAAAAATGAAAGAATACAAAATTAAAGGAAATTAAAGGAGTACGAGAATAGAATAGAATGGAATGAAATGGAAATAAAAGAAGAAACGTAATGTAAAGTAAAGTAAAGCAAGAGGTCTAGAAAGAACGATAGGAATTGCTCTCACGTTCTCTGTTGCAGCAAGGCATTGAAAGAATGGATGAACGTGTTGGTAATAAGAAGGAAAAAACGAAAGAAAGAAGAAATGTTCGACATCGGGAAGAACAAGAAAAAATGAACCACTGATTAAACTGTATGATTTAAGCGAACCAGAAAGAGAAAAACATCTAAACAAAGAAAGAGGAAAAAATTAGAGAAGGCTAAATAAAATAAGTGTAGATCTTAAAGTTACACTAAATCGATTTTCTATCATGAATTAACATAAGTTCATATATTATTCTTCCTGCGCCATATGCTCGACTCGACATTTTTATTCCTGTGTTTGTTTAATATTTCTAGACCCATTTTCTACACATTTTCATGCACTGTTTGCACATTTTCTATATTATACAAATTATCATGCGACATCTCTTCCATTACTAAAACCTTCATCACCTAACCAGACGAGACAAATCATCTGGCATCATACAAATGGGAGACGCTCTTAGTGACCTGTTAGTCAAATTCGCGTGAAGATTTCACATTTTGCGTTAAGATTCGTTGTATTTCCTCTCGAAAACAATAGTACGTCATTAAAAGTGAAGAGGTCTAATCGAGTGATTTTACGTCAATCGGTGATGGGAAAATACTTATACTTTACGCATTCATTCAGTCATAATACACAGTTCCGGTAATCTAAAAATAAAATCAACACAGCCATAATCATTAGTAAAAACTAAGTTAGTAAAAGACGTTAAAGAATCAAAATACGCAAATTCTCTTTTTCTACTTTCTTAATTAGTGACCGGTATTGACGTTTTCTTGTAAGGATTTAATGAAAATACAAATATTACATCTCACCATCATTCACAATCATTTTTTCCCCTACCTATTATTGGTCAAAACGTCGGCAAATATCACTTAAAGTGAAAAAAGCAAGCTGAGATCTTAAAATGTTTATGTATGATCAAGTTGACAGTTGATTTAGCCCTGTGTACATTGGGAATTTTGCAAAAACATTGTGTGGTATGGTGTTTTGATATCGTGTTTGGATAGAAAATATTTTTGTGAGCCGAAAAGTCTTTTTCTCCAACAACCATTTAATTTCGATGGGCAAATTATTAGTGGGTAGCTCAAATATTTTGAAACACCCGCATTAACGACGTGACAAGTACAAACAACTGCAGATCCCATCACTGCAAATGATTTAAGAACTGAGACTTTTTTAAAGGAAAATTATTTTCGTTCTTTTGGTTAGGCAATCGAGATCAAGCATTCCTATGTTTCTATCTATCAGCTTGTCTGTTATTCCATCTGTCTTTCTGTCCRTATGTCTGTCTGTCTGTCTGACCGGTCTATCCATCCACCCCATCTGTCTATCTAGACTCAGTCAAAGTATTTGCCCCTATGTTGTTTATAGGGACAATCTAATTGATCTAGTTGCATATTGTATGGAACCATACTGAAAAACGATAACCAAACGCAAATGAAAACGGGGCTATGCAATAAATACAAATGCTAAACTGCTTCGCTTATACTAGGTTTACCTATTAAGATGAAAATGTCAAAATTTACYAATAATTTGTGGACAGACCTGTTGTTTTCTAAAATTTCCTGTGAAGGTTTATAAATAAATTAATTAATTAAGGGCTGATTGACTTCGGAAAAAAATAAGGATGACTATTTAGTTGTATCTCTGTACCTTTGAGTCTTTGTAACTTAGTTTACAACTATGTAGTCTGTGCATGTATCTTGCAACTCGAATTAGCCAAGGACACGCATACAATGCATTCATTTTAATTCAGGAACACTGACAAGCAATGAATTAAGAACGAAATTTTAAAATATACGTTCCGCTGAACTACTTTTTCAGAATTTACAATCATCAGACAAAAAGATGTCACAATATGTAAAATCATATTTTGCCGTTGAAAAGAACCGTAAAGTATTTTAATCAGTATTAAAATACTGATTTTGAGAAACGTTTTGATGGAGAAGTTAGCATGGATTCATACAATGAAAAAAGACCCATATTTCCAAAAGATTATGGAAACTAGACAAGAACTTATGGCTGGGAGTACGCGACACAAGTTGCAATTCAACAGCGAAAACATCTGTTAAACAATTGATTTGGACCGCGTCAAAATGATGAGACAGATGAAGAGGAAGATTTGCAATATCATCAACCTCTAAGGGACATTGTCTCGCCGTACCTCCTCAGTAAACTCTTCAAATTATCCAGATGTAATGCTGCTCCTATCTATGCTCATTCTGCTCCTGAACTGCTCATTTTGCTCATGCGTTGCTCTTGATCTGCTCATTCTGCTCCTGAACTGCTCTTTTTACTCATGCGTTGCTCTTAATCTGCTCATTCTGCTCTTGAACTGCTCATTTTGCTCATGCGTTGCTCTTGATCTGCTCACTCTGCTCTTGAACTGCTCATGCGTTGCTCATGCGTTGCTCATGCGTTGCTCTTGATCTGCTCATTCTGCTGAACTGCTCATTTTGCTCATGCGTTNTCTGCTCTTGAACTGCTCATGCGTTGCTCATGCGTTGCTCATGCGTTGCTCTTGATCTGCTCATTCTGCTGAACTGCTCATTTTGCTCATGCGTTGCTCTTGATCTGCTCATTCTGCTCCTGAACTGCTCATTTTGCTCATGCGTTGCTCATGCGTTGCTCTTGATCTGCTCATTCT